TACGGCGAGGAGGGTGTGGATAGCCTCAAAAGGCGAAGTCCTGGAGAGCCGAGTAAAGTGGAGATGGTGTGTGGTGTGTGTGTGTGGTGTGTGTGTGTGTGTGTGTGTGTTGTGCGTGCGTGCGTGCGTGCGTGCGGTGGCGTGCGTGCGTGCGTGCGTGCGTGTGTGGCCCAGTCTGTATTGTACCCCGGTAGCCACTGTTTTTTGGGTCGCCCAGGCCGTCTTAGTTGTGGCATTTTGGCGTCCATCACGTGTCTGAATACACGGCCAGGTGAAAGGTTTGCACTTTACTTTATGCCGTGACTCTCCGTTGCGGTGAGGAGGGTGTAGATAGCCTCAAAAGGCGAAGTCCTGGAGAGCCGAGTAAAGTGGAGATGACCGGGGACAGATATCCTGCCAACCCTGCAGGTAATAATCAGTCTTTCCACGTCAGCTATGGTGAACAATCACCAACACATTCACATTCTCTTCTTATTGCATGCTTCTCAAATGTTATACAATCACCCAAGTTCAGAGACAAGTATTTCAAGGAATTCTACAACGACAAACGTTAAACCTCAGTCGATCAACCTTAGCCGTCACCGCAAAACATTGAGTGGAGGGTTATGAAAAGAACAAGCCGAATATCACCATGCAGATTGACCTTAAAAAGCATGATTTTGACGAACGCTGGATCTGACTAATGTAAATGTTCTAGCGCTTCACGAGTCGAAATGAGATGGCAATATGTAAATGATCTTGTGTTCTCCGTCCTCTGAGTCCGCGTTTTGCCTTCAAGGGTGACCTTGACAGGTCAGGACATTTTGACGGACGTTAGGTCATGCGCTTGTGATTACTTTGATGTTCATAGTTTTGTAATCGGTCGGTATTTTAAAAGGGTGATTTAGAGTTCCCTTCCTTTCAGCCCGCGTTTGCCATTGAAGTATGACCGAGAGAGGCCAGGATCTTTTGACGGATGCTAGCTCTTCCTCTAGTGGTTATTTCGATGTCTTTGGGTTTAAAATAGCGGGTAATTTTTGGGTGATTTGGAGTTCCCCGTCCTTTGATCCCGCGTTTGCCCTTGAAGAGTGGCCTTTAGAGGTCAGGACGTTTGGACGGACGCTAGTTTTTTCTTCGGTGAGTATTCTGATGTTTTAAGTTAAAAATCGGCCGGTAATTTTTCGGTGATACGGAGTTCCCCATCCTTTAAGCCTGCGTTTGACTCTGAAGGGTGACCTTGAGAGGTCAGAACTTTTTGACGGGCGCTGGTTTGTTCTGTGGTGAATATTCTGATGCTTGTAAGTTAAAGATCGGCCTGCGATTTTTTGGTGATATAGAGTTCGCCGTCCTTTGAGCCCGCGTTTGACCTTGAAGGGTGACCTCGAGAGGTCAGGACTTTGTGACGGACGCTAGTTCTTTCTGTGGCGGATGTTTTGATCTTTGCAAGGTCAAGATCGGCCAGTAATTTTTTGAGTAATTTAGAGTTCCCCGCCCTTTGAGCCCGCGTTTGACCTTAAAAAGTGGCCTTGAGAGGTCAGAATTTTTGGACGGACGCTAATTTTTCTGTGGTGAAAGTTTTGATTTTTTTAAGTTAAAAGTCGGGTGGCAATTTTGGGTGATATGGAGTTTTGCGTCCTTTGCGCCCGCGTTTGACCTTGAAGGATGGCCTTGAGAGGTCGGGGCTTTTTGATGAACACTAGTTCTTTTTGTGGTAAATGTTCTGATCTTTGTAAAATACAAGTCGGCCGGTAATTTTTAGGTGATATGGAGTTCGCCGTCCTTTGAGCCTGTGTTTGACCTTGAAGGTGGCCTTGAGAGATCAGGAATTTTGAACGGACGCTAGTTTTTTCTGTGTTGAATATTCTGACATTTGCAAGTTGAAAATCGGCGGTAATTTTGAGTGATATCGAGTTCCCCGTCCTTTGACCCAGCTTTTGACCTTGAATGGTGACCTTGAGATGTCAGGATTTTTGAACGGACGCTAGTTTTTCTGTGTTGAATATTCTGACATTTGCAATTTGAAAATCGGCGGTAATTTTTGGGTGATATCACGTTCCCCGTCCTTTGACCCAGCTTTTGTCCTTGAAGATGACATGATGTTTGCAAAATAAGGTTCATTTTGGTGTTATCATGCCACAGTTGACCTTGTAACCATTTTCCACGGAAATCGGAACCCTTCGCTTAAAAAATCGCTGAATAAGTCGCTAACTTCACGGACATCAATTTTGGTTGGTCGCTCGACTCGGTGACAGACCGGCGCCAAATTAGTGTATTTCCTATGGCCCGGACGGTCGGCCGATGGATACGGCTAAGCCCTTCTCATTTCCTCCTCACTCAAGAGCATATGTAGTTTCTTGTAAATACAACATATGGAAAAATATTGAGAAGAACTTGATATTTCTTCCGTTCTAGCGCATTACTAACGTAATTTTTTATAACTCAGATAAAACCATGCACTGATATTCACTAGAAGATCCATAGACTTGTCATTGATTTCTCTGTCGTATTCGTGACATAGAGCCGATGAACGCAGCGGAGTGCAGACGACGTCACCTGTAGGCGGTGTCATCACCGTAGGCGGCGCCACCACCGTAGGCGGCGCCACCACCGTCGGCGTCGTGAAAGTTGTAGGGGGCGCTACTGAAAATGCGCCTGCCGCCCGCTTCGCTAGATGTCACCGTGCCCAATGCAGCATGGGGTTTCATCCAGATTTAGTCATGCTAATCTCCGCCAGCTGTACCTACAATCATTTCTACCGTTTAATTAATTTCTTTATACCGACAGGAATAGTTTCATTATCCTTTCATTTGGCGAATTGCTTCATAACGTCTCATATACTTTTCCGTCAGCGGAAGCACGGGTGCGGCTTCATCCGTCAGCTGGTAAGATGTGTGAAAGATTGCGTTGGTAAGAGTGACATTTTATGACTATAATGCTCTTCGAAGTTACAAGAAATGATTTTATTGTATGGCCATTTTGTTTCTCCTCGATGGTTGATGTGCTCCTCGTGTTAAGCGCGTTATATTAATGTGCTGTACATTCCCAGAAATGGAAAGGAGGCTGTCTCAGTGTTATACTATTGTTATGCAAGATACCGCGTCAACTCTTGTACACTTCAAGTTATTCTGGTGACCGTTCTAAATCACTCGCTCCAGTGATATTCTAAATCGCATGCACAATATTCTACGTCAACAACATCCCTCAACGCAGCAGAGTAGCTCATTACCACTGAGCCTCCAGCAGCGTTTGGTGGAGGACAAGATTGCGTCCATCGGGGAGTGCCCCGAGCCGCCGGCCGTAGGTAAGGCAGGGCACAAACCTTTTAGCCGTTTCCAGCGGCTCAAAGGGAGAACGGGGGACATGCAGGGCTTGTCCTTATCAGTCGGGAGCTAGGACCTGACTGAACCCTCATCCGTGCCCCGTGCCTAACCTCGGCTCGGCCCCACCAAGGGGCGCCGTTGACTGGCCAGAGGTCAAGACCACGCGACTTAGGCTAGCCCGCAGCACCGGCTGGGCGGGGCGCGGCCGTCACAAGCGGTGCGATGTGCGGTGCATGGCGCGGCATGTCGCACACAATAGCGCACATGGGCACCGCACCACACTTCGGTATAACACTATGAAAAATGCATTGTGACATGAATATAATAGCATCTGTAGACTGTGCTGGACAAAGTTCAAAAAGTGTTCATGTTGGTTTTCATGGATGTCATGGCACTGTTACTATGTGGTATGTACAACTGGTATGCCTTGTTTTTGCTGATAGCTAGTATTATTTATTCTTATTTTTGTTGTATGATTTTTTTGTGTTGTGTGTACCTCCAAGAAATATGTTGTCACCGCACTTGCGCAAAAACTGGGAGGCTGTGACTTGGTTGGTGTTCAGAGAAAGATGCTTCTCCGCTGCTCACAAGTGCATGCAGAGATGCTGCTTCACTCTTCTCGCATAAGATTTCTTCAAAGTTAAACTCATATGATCTTGTTTTTTGCATTGTCTTAGACTGTTTTTTCAAGTGCTTGCAAGCTACTTGAAAGGCTCCCAAATAAGATAACTGTTTTTGAGGTAAATCGACTTTAAACATCAACAAAGCGAACTAGCCAGTCAGGCTTAAGCACCACGATAGCACATATTATCTTTGTTTCAGCCCCAGTGCTGATGCCCGACGTCGTCACGCCAGGGCCGAGCTGCGCGTAGCCGTCGTCACCCAGTCGCGGTGATCGGCAGTCGCCGCTACTACCAGCGGCCCCGCGGCTGCCGCTCGTGCGACTGCGGTCATCAGCCCTGCAAGCTGGACCCGGTGGCCCCGCACAGAATAGCTCGGGAGCTAGACCTGGTGGCCCCGCGGCTGGCGCCCCCACGGCTGACGGCCCTGCGGCTCCGGCTGGACCCAGTGAGCCCGCGGCTACGGCTGGACCTAGTGACTCCACAACTGGTGGCCGTTAGCTGGACCTGGTGGCTCCGCAGCTGGTGGCTCCGCGGCTGGATCTGTTGGCCTCGCAGCTGGTGGCTCCGCGGCTGGATATTCAGGAAGCCTCATGTCGTGCGTAATTCGTGACTGAAACTGAAATTGATTCGTGTGCGTAACATAATCTAGCTCGTACGCTGACCAATAAGCTCCTCATTATAAATTTGCTCCGGCGAGGAGACGTGATAGCGGCAGCTGGTGACTCCAAACACCAGCGAACAGCGGCACCTGCGCAGCACACGCACCCCACCACCGACACCACCTCGCCCCCCCCCCCCCCCCCCCCCCACTCACAGGATCTCTGCATCGCGCTCCAATCTCACGCTCGAGCGGAATAATGAGGCATAAATACGGCCATTCGGTCCCGATAGTCGCTCGGCTTAAGCAATGAGGCTGCCAATTCAAGTCAGTTAAGCGGCGCAGTGTTGGTGAAAGCTTACAGCATCCACTGACAAGCAGCCAATTGATATTTGCTAGTCCCCGCAAGTATGTTGACAACCGGTATCACGGTAGGATTTGGAGAGTCCCTGATGGAGACTTCCGCGAGCTGCCCACGGCTCACCTGTGGCGTGTCTCCATGTTCAGCCTCTCGGGACACCTAATGAAGCCGTCCAGCGTGTCAACTATACTGACGAACAGCGGTCGATGGGCGCTCTGACGCTGCCAGCAGTCCAGCATCAGCTGGTGCAGCGCCTTAGGACAGCCTGCTGGAGCCGGCAGCCTGGTGACACGTGACGCTTGTGTCATGACATCACACAAGGCGTCACAGTGTCGGCATCGATAGAAAAAGCGCAACTCAGGGTCGGATTTCACCACGCTGATTGAATCGTCAACCACGAACAGTTTAAGCATGCAGCGTTACCTTAAGGAGAGACCAAAATACTCTTTTCTCCCGAATAGTTCCGGCAACAACCACGAAATGTGTGATCATCTGGGTAACCGCATACCGCAAACCAGCTCCCTGGGATACCGCTAGGAAAAGTGCCTTCCATTCTCCAGTTACCTCTGTGCGAATGTTTCGGCCAGGGGAGGCACCACCGGAGGGGGGCAGGGACGGCTGGGGGGTGCACCTGTCATCGGATAGGAGGGGGACAGTTCCCCTGTTCAAGTAACCTGCTTCCAAAATAAAAACCAAATTTCATTACGGGGTCCCTACCCACATTTTTTCCATAACGAAGCTTCCTCGCATCAGCATGGGTTTGCACTGCCACAAAAACTAGCACACTGCTACTAGCACATCCAAAAAGCCGCTCCGCGATATTTTGCTATGCTGGGTGATCATACTCAATGTCTTTCATGCCCCTGCGCCTAGATTTGCAGGCCGGATTGGTATGTGATTGAAACATCACTAAGTGCCCGGCAGCCCAGTGATATGACGCTGATATATATCATAATTCTGTTATCCATTGCTTATTTTGTTTCTCGATATTACACATACTGTAAGAGAAAGACCCAATTAATTTGGCACTGTAGCGTACGTACCACAATGCAATATATTTAATTTCTCCGGTACGACTCCCATTTTAGGACGTTCTACGTCAATGACCATCACGTGTTATCACCACGTCCACCGTCGTGTTGTTGCAGTAGCTTTACAATGAAATAAATTACCTGTATTTTGTGCTCATTGCGTACTTTAAACAGATTGCACCTAGGTTCCCGGGATGATCTCGTCATTATGTAATATTTTCTTTACCCGTTACGGCAGTAGACATATTTTACGGATAATTTTGATGTACTCTGCTGTTATCACTATATTGTAGCACAGAAAAATAATATGTTTTAGCGTGCATTCTCCGACCGTCGTCGGGTGTTAGAGCCCTCATCAGTCCTGGTGCTTGGCTTCCAGCCATGTATGCATCACAACCTAAATCATCTCCCTTGCATTGCTGGAATTAGAACCGGGGTCGTTTTTTTTGCGATTCGGTACTCTACCAGCTGAGCTAGCCGGGAAGGGCAATCCTTCGGTGTTGGAACTTGGTGTCATGGATCTCCTGGTTATTCGCTCATTTTTTGCCACAAGATTGGATGTCATATGGGGTTGACGTGCACGCTTGTCTTATTGATGGAATTGTGAGGCAATGGGTGCCGCCTCCTTGACCTTCCCAATTTTCCAGTAATGCTCTGTCCATGATGGTTATCTCATCACACGCTGGCCGATGATCGCTTTCTTGCCTTGCACGCTCTACCACGCTTTTGTGCCCTTCCAGTTTGACCGACAGAGGGTTACTTGTCTCTCATTTTCAGGACCTACCATAGCTGCGTGGTATGTGGTACATGCAGTGGTTCGTATGCTACTTAGCTATTGGCGACCTGACTTTGGCAAGAGCTGTCCGGATAGCTAAGCTGCTTTTAAAGACCGCCCTGATGTTGTATCTCCCACAGATTCTTCTGATTACACCGTTCCTGCTGGGTTTCCCGCAACTGCTCAGCTTGTCGAGCATGCTCTCTAGGCTTGATGCCTTTGAAGCCTATAGCACCTGACGACGGTGGGAGACGTAACTGGCCTAAACGGTGTGTTCGTACTAATCCGCCAGGTCCACCAGGATAGAATAGGTGGTGTAACATTGGGAGAGGGCAGTCCTCCTCCGCTGCCAGCCGGGGCATGAGTATGCACTCAAAACTTCTGGAAGGCCCCTTTTTCACCTGAACCTGAAGGCATTGTTGCCAACCGTAGATTACCAGCCCTAAGACCACGGAGGATCCATAACGGAGATATTGAGTACATAAATCAGGCTCAGAAGGCCAAGTTTCCTACATCAAGGAGTCTGATGTCTGGATCATAAGCTAACTTTATTGATAAGGTAACCAGATAATCAATGTTGCTAAGTTGTGTTTTTGCTGCCTCGGGAGCCCCGTTATGAACTGGAAAACCACTGTTCTGGGTTAGGAGCGCCCTTTACATTCCGGAGGCCCGTTTGTGGAACAGGAGGCACCTTTCATGGATCGGATGGCCCCAGTTCCGGATTAGGATGCCTGTTTTGGGATGACAAGGCCCCTTAAGAAGATTTAGAGGCCTCTTTCTGATTCGGAAGCATCCTGTTCTGGGTTAGGAGGCCTCTCTTTGCATCATGAGGTCTTTCTGGAACATGAAACCCTGTTTTATGACAACCAGTCCTAGGCTGGATAATCAGGACTCCCTTACCCTGAAAACATCTTGTGCAAACATTTCAAAACGAAATGCACTGATGTAGCTGAGCAATTTTGGGCTATTCGAGGGCTACAGGATCCTTGTAGCATTCCAACATACATGCCTACGTGCACACAAAAATCGGTATCACAATTACCCTGCTTTCTAGGGAAATAACCATGCGTGTCAGAAATGGAGCTCCAGACGAATACAATACAATGCTACCAAAACACCAGTGATACCGAAACACCACACGCCTAACGTCCTTCCCACGCCTCATCAAATCATGGCGCTACAAATCAGGTCTGGTGGTGTGATTCAGCTTTGCACACTCGTCAACGTGCTCCAATAAGGAAGACATAACCAAGATTTAATATTATGCTGAGCGTCTAAGGTGTTGCGTTTTTTTTAAAGTATTTATGGTCACGTAATTACCAACAACTGTGCACGTATTACGGTAAGACAGCAATGCCGGCAATTTCAGTACTAGAAATTGTGGGATGATGACCGCCGAGTCCATTAAAGTACATGAAATAATGTGTGCAACATGACCCTCTAGCCATCTTTTCAGAAGGAGCTGTCCTCATGTAATCCAGGGGATACTTTCAGTGCTATTTTCGACGACAGGTATCACTTTTACCGTGTGCTACCCGTTTTGGAAATAAAGGAAAGCACCCTTTAAGGTCGTACAATTTGCACTAATATAAAGGTGTAGAAAAGAACAGAATGCGAATATGAAGTAAAAAAAACAACAACTAGAATTGAAAAATAGAACGGAGGGAAGCGTACCTCTCACCCTGGCAAGAAGGCCGACCTGGGGCGAATCGTACCCCGTATCTCTGGTTTCCCAAATGCGTAGTGTGACCTGTATAATGTCGGCACCACGTATCAGTTCCAGAGCTATCATCGTTTTTCTTGGCGCAAATCCGTCTTTACGTCATTTCCTGAGGTCATCGTCAACGGAAAACGAGTCTGACGTAGGGAAATAACTTCGGAATCATCAAAGCACTAACCAACCCCTTAACCGAATATTGACCGCTCTGAGCTAGCGGCGCGCAAAATTGCACTTTTGGTGTTTGGGATGGCGTAGAATGGCCCACCGGCTAACGCAATGATGCTGTGTCAAATCATATTCGTACCCCCCTTCCAAAATGTTGCTGGCGGTAACGAAACGATGGGTCCGTGAACGTAAATACATGTTCGGCCGATATGCGTATTCCATCTGATTGCGAACATGAATACTATACTGCATGAGGACAAAACTAAAGCGAACGACATACACTTTCTATTGAATGCACATCTAAATATATATATATATATATATATATATATATATATATATATATGTATTTTACGTATGATATAACGCTCAAACCTGTAGCCCTCCTTCACTCTTTGGATGACCTCACTGTTGCGCCAATTCCAGTATGGCCGCTGGCCGTAGGACATGACCTCCCAGACGACGATGCCGAAACTCCACACGTCCGAGGAGGGCGTGAACGTGCGGAGCGCTATAGCCTCGGGCGCCGTCCAGCGGAACGGAATTATGCCGCCCTGCCAACAACGAGGAGTGGAAAGCTGACCAAAAAAAAAACACCGACAAGCCAGAGGTAAAGCACCGGTCGGTCACGGCCACGACAGGTCGGGGCTGAAATGTTGAGAAGGCTTCCAAACATAATAACGGTAAATCTATGGTGACGACGATGACGATGTGTATCTGGAGAAGGATTTGTGAGAAAGATCAAAACCATGAGCCGGATTAAATGTAAACAATAGTTTTATCGATGTAAAATTCCCCATTGAGACCCAATAAAACGCCGCCCTGCAAATGGGTAGCATTTCTCTGATTCCTCCAAACGCATAACATGTGAAACAGGACTGTTGTGTATTTGCTGCTCAGTTCGACCCGTCCGTTCGGGACTACGGAGCACAGCTCGAGGTGGACTCTGAGTCACTCGACACGTAGCGGAACGCGTGTAGCAAATAGGCATGACTACTGGGCCGCATCCAGTCGGGGCCATGACAAAGGCAAGACTGAAAGAATAAACGCGCTGGACGGAGGCTGCCAAATGGGGTGAACGTTTATTTCATATAAGAAGCGGCAAATGGGTATATCACATCTTTCTCACCCACGCAAACCAGCACGTAAGGAACTTGACAGGGAAAGAGCACTTAACAGAGCAAATTACAGCATCTAAGAGCACTTAACAGAGAAAATTGACCTGATACACGTGATCGCGACTGTTCAGCGGAAACGAGGCTCATCGTCGTCCGGCAGATGGCACTGCTCGCGTCGCGGAGTCTGGCGCGAAATAGGGCACGATGTCGGCACGTCGCCGCACAGGCGATGAATCGGTGGTCGCGCGGTTCCAGTAGCCGGACGTATCCACCAAGGAGCTTCACGCGGTAGTCACGGTCGCGTCCGACGCCGACCACACTCCGGATCTTGTCCCCGCTGTGGGAGGGTGACTCCGAGACCTGGTCAGAATGACTCTGACTCTGAGGCCTGCATAGAGGCTCCGATTTTCAAGAGTAGCTGTTGCGTTGTGGACCGGCTGTGGACGTGCTCTTGACGGCTCCGGATCATACCAGCTTCTCGGTCGCAGTCTTCATCTGACAGCTGCAGATGGATGCTGTAAGCCTGTCTATGGGCAGGGACACAACTGCGTAGAGGATGCCCGCGCAGGGTTTGGGTAAGGGAATGCCCGTCTGCACTAACGGTGTTTCGGGTTTCGAGGAGCTTTCTAGCGAACTGCTCTTCGTCTAGACGCCCCATAAAGGTGTTTTTACTTAAAGACAAAGGCCCTTATTGTTGGGCACTAGGTAAGGCGTACGAACAGGGTACGATTGACGACGGGATGTAATTTCGGACTTCCCGAAGATCCGAAGATCGGCTTGCAAACTCCAGACCCCACCCGTTGAAGGGAATATTTCACAATTTACGATATTAAAGCAAGCGACGTGTAAGTAGGAATTTGATGTCATGGGATCAGCTATAACTATCAGTGTATCGGTTAGTCGAAAATACTCCTATAAACGACACAATTACTTTATGTCGTAGGCCTGCTCTTTGATACGTCATTGTTGACTGCGTCTTGGCACGTTTACATGACGCTAGCGGTGCTGCCAAACTGGCCGTACGAAATTGCCACCCTAGCACTCACTTATAGTGCTTCAATCTCCTAAGAGGTATTCGCGGCGGTGCTGGTTGTGTTTCCTGAACTCAAGATCATTATGTGCTTGTGTGTCGGCCCTTTCTCGTGGTGTTCTTGCATATTTGTATGTGAGTTTAAACTGTTAATTTCTGTTCACTTTTGTTCATTGGGCTCCATTACAAATCCTGATTCCGTGATAACTAGCACCCATGGCCAACGTCTTGGTTAAAGCTCGGCGGTTGACCCCCCAGGCGCATGCAAGTTTGCCCCGCCGTTAACCATTTTCCTTCATCCTATGGCCCTGAAATGATCACTTCTGATCGGAAGGGCTCTAATCCAAACAACCAAACCAAACTGTCGTAACTGGAGCTCTCTCAGCACGCTCAACATTGCTTGAGAGCCAATGCACGCCCATGATATCTGGAAATCGCAGGCATGGCTGCTAAATGGAAGAGGCTCGATGATTTTATATTCCTAGGCCTTGAACGCCGCATAGTCAATGCTGTGTCTGGATTTGAGTGGTTTCTACGACGACATGCATGCCCGAATGACCTTGAAATAGTTTGCACAACGAAGTCTGTACCGCTTCGCGGGCGTCTAGCTCAGAAATTAAGAGGTTCAGGTCTGAAGAAGGGCAGGGTTACGAACTGCATCCAATGATCTTCAAAATGGCTAGTTCCATTCAAAACCTCATAGAAATGTGAGACACTCCCCTTAAGCACACTGATACGGTCATGCTCACGAACGGTTCTCGGAGTGCTCGTTCCTATCGCCCGTCGCATAGTCTTGTCTCCAGGAGGGAATAGGTGCATCACAAGCCACTCTGACAGGCCATCCACGCAAGCCAAGAAGAATCAAAGCGCGTCGTAGCGATTTCCAACACCTTAGACTCATGTAGAAGGCTGCATAGCCGTTCCTGGGACGCGTCACGGCTGCCGGTAACGTCCTGACGTCGCAGGTGAGGGCAGGCCACCCCGCCGTCTGACGAGCACGTCCCTTGGTTCGTGCGACGCCCTGATACCGATCGTACAGGCGGGTGAGAACCTCCGCGTTCTGCTCGCATCTGTATTACAGCACGAAATCCTCTAAAGATGAGTTCGTATTCGAGGGAGAGTTCGGATCAGATCTCTTTGATCTTTTTGATCACTGCTGCAACCAGATGTTAAGGCTCCGTGGCTTTCCTGGCTACTTCTCGTAGGTGTTGCCGACCGTTATAAGATCTATCAAGATATCTGGCGTGGCGTTCATGTCACCTGCAGCTGTGAATATTTCCTCTGGATTAGCGAAAACCACTCAGCTCAAGTTATTTTCGGTCTGCTCGACGTTCTTGCTGCCTGTAGCTGGTGAGTTGTCCAGTTGCTCGACGTTCTTGCTGTCTGTAGCTGGTGAGTTGTCCAGTTGCTCGACGTTCTTGCTGTCTGTAGCTGGTGAGTTGTCCAGTTGCTCAACGTTCTTGCTGTTTGTAGCTGGTAAGTTGTCCAGTTGCTCAACGTACCTGCTGTCTGTAGCTGGTGAGTTGTCCAGTTGCTCAACGTACCTGCTGTCTGTAGCTGGTGAGTTGTCCAGTTGCTCAACGTACCTGCTGTCTGTAGCTGGTGAGTTGTCCAGTTGGTCAACGTTCTTGCTGTCTGTAGCTGGCGAATTGTCCAGTTGTTCAACGTACCTGCTGTCTGTAGCTGGTGAGTTGTCCAGTTGCTCAACGTTCTTGCTGTTTGTAGCTGGTAAGTTGTCCAGTTGCTCAACGTACCTGCTGTCTGTAGCTGGTGAGTTGTCCAGTTGCCCAATGTACCTGCTGTCTGTAGCTGGTGAGTTGTCCAGTGATACCCTGGAAAGGGCATCCTGGGTGGCGTCGTCTTCTTTCTTCTTCCAGGTGCCAGTGAATGCGAAAATGGCCTCTTAGCTCGTTAAGGGACTCAATAGGTGTGCTCACATCTTCATAGCTGAAAGCCAACGCGTTAGAAACTTGATGCCCCAGTCATCGGGTTCCGGTGGCCATGCACGACACGTGGTCATCGGGTTCCGGTGGGGCGACTTCGGCCACGTGGCCGGGGACGTGCTCTGACTGCCGTATCGCCATGCTGTGTGTTTGCTGCTTTGTTCGGCCTGTCTCCTCGAGACTTCAGATTGCGGTTCGATGTGCACTCTGATAAGCTTGATGCCAAGTGCCACACGCGATTAGTGGGATACACCCAATGATAACGATGGCACGGACGAGACTGAAATAATGTCCTTTCCGGGAGAAGGCTGCCAAATGGATGTGTGTGCTTTCCTTCATGTGGCAAGAAAATCCATAGCAAGGATCAGCGACAATTATATTGCAAGGTCTGCTCTCTTCTTTGCTTGCCCTCTTCCTACACCTGCCTGGACCAACCGACGCCAACGATCAACGAACAGTGGAATTAATGCCCAGGCCAAGCCAATGCAATGCCTCCTACAAGGACAATGAGCACTTGTCTGCCATAGTTAAGAGCCGTGATCTGTGCGGTCGGTGGTCTCAGAGGAACACAGTATGTGACGTACTCAATTTCTATAAACAACAACGCGTATGTTTCGGGAGCGCGGATTTGTCACGATGAACAGGTGACCAAAACATTTTTGAGTATTTATACTGTAACGTTTGAATTCGGCCCAGGGTGACACACATGCAATGACTTTACCCTCGTTATATTAGCTCCCTCACGGTGTAACATTCCAGAAGTCGCCCGTATGATCCAGTTGAAGGTTCCTACACCGGTGATTTACCCACAAAATGTGGATGATCTCCGCGGTGACCTGTTGCAAATGTGACCCGTGCAAGGTAAACTTAGCCTCAGGTGGCCCAACTCGCGCATTGTAGATTCTCCCACCGGCGGTCCTACCTGTATGGAGTGGACTCTCTCTCTCCAGTGGCCTTACCTGTGTGGTGTGGACTCTCGCACCAGTGTATTCGCTTGTGCGCTGTAGATCCTCTCACCGGCGGTCTTACCCGTGTGGTGTATGTAGATTTCCTCAGTAGAAGACTCACTCGTGCGCTGTAGATTTCCTCACTGGAGGTCTTACCCGTGTGCTGTAGATTTTCTCTCCAGGAGCCTTACCTGTGTGGTGTGCATTCACTGGTGGACTCACCCGCGCGCTGTAGATTCCCTCACGGGCGGTCTCACCCGTGTGGTGTAAATTCCCTCTGCGATGCCCTCAAGCTTGCGACTGAGCCCGAAGTCGGCGATCTTGCAGACCAGCTGCGAGTTGACCAGCACGTTGCGTGCGGCCAGGTCGCGGTGCACGTACTTCATCTGGGAGAGGTACTGCATGCCGGCAGCCACGCCACGCAAAATCACCAGCAGGTGAAACGACTGGAGACATCTGGCCTTTTTCTGCCGGATTCAACGGGGAGGGAGGGATGTCTGTCAGCAAGAAAAGAAACGTTAGTCAAACTTTAAGCTTATAAACCTACGCAAACTTAATCTTGCCTCTAGCCCCACTCCTAACTCAACCTAAGCTTAAGATATCGTCTCGGCCGAAACAGCCATACAGCGGATGGAAATGGAACCAACTAGCTGACTTCATCATCAGCAAGCTGCCAGGCTTCAGGTACCAGCGTCAGCTTGCGCGCAATTCAGCATCATACAATCATCGATTCTTTGTTCATCTCGCTAGCGATACACAATGAATAGGTTTCGTTTGGAAGGGTTGGCTGCTGATCAGCTTGTTTTACCATTCAGTACAATTAATGGGATCCCTTTTAGTCTACAAACAGACTTTTAAGCACGTGCTCACAAACCAGCCGTTAGCTTTATCGTGACACAACACAGGCAACACACATTAATGCTATGTTGTATCCAACTATCTCAGCGTTTTAATTTTGTTCAACTATCCAGCACTGCATCCTGAGGACTGGTCCTGATCCCTTACAGTGCACCTGGAACTGGGTCCCCTAGGATCGTTGAAAAGGGCTGACATGTCTAAAACGCAGGGAAAATTAATTCCAGTCATCATCCATGTGAAACCGAAGCGTGCCAAAACAAAAAAGCCGGCCTTGAAACAAACGCTATTTGTGATTGCCAATTACATTGGAAATGACGGATTCAAATGTGTCGAAGCGTGCGACGTAAAGCGTTTGAAAAATGCATTAGTTGTTTGCTGCTTGAGGTATTTTATTATCCAGCTGAGCTGAACATGTTGACCCTTAGCACAATGCATCCTGTAAAAACGCAATGCTGTCTACGGACACCTGACTGGCGTGGCGCATGCAAACAATCGTTTTGCCCCGCAACCCCACAGTGGTTTAGCACAGAAGCACAAAATTCGCAGCTTGCAAAAAATCGCCGAAAGGCGTGTCGACCGGGTCAATGGCCGGCGACCTGATGCCACAGCGATACAAAATGTAAACACGTTCGAACAGATTTGGAATCGTGAGCAGCAGCACCGCAGAAGCGCAAACTGGTACCTGCGGTGGCGCACGTGCACTGGTGCAAAAAATTTGAATTCTGTGTTGTCCATAAAGAACTACGCGGGCCCCACCCTACCCGACGGATAACTACGTCATCACTTGATCAGAAAGCGACTAACATCTGGTTTTGCAAAACCGGTCCCACATACTATACGCTGGCGCCTAAACAAGCAAGAAGGAGGCGTGGAAATGGTACACAAGTAAAGCCCGATTCACGGCGATCATATATCCATCCAACACATTTGCGGGTGGAATGCTAAGTCAGACCATTCGCCCCCTCCCCATCTCCTGTCCAACGGTGGTGTTAGCTTCCAGACCAAATTCAATGAAAAACCTGTTTGTTTTGTGTTTTGTGGGCAGGTTTTGTTATTTGTTACTCCCCCCCCCCACAGCCAATTGATTTTGCCAATCTACGCCCCCGACTCCTTGCTTCCCCCCCCCCCTTCGTTCCGAGCATTCTGGCTGCGTACTGAGTGATACTAATACCGCGTCCAACTCTTTCGTACGTTATTTTAGGTATTTGCGTCTATTGCAATGCGTTGGTCACAAAATCTTTGAACGTGATCTATTGCACATTTAGGTATTTCGTCGATAGAAAGAAAGTGTCGGGCAGGCCGCCGACTACCAATGGATTGTAAAGCCGCTTAATTCCACCGAAAACGCTTCGCGTGGCGGCTATCCAGGCGAGCGTCAATGAAGCCAACGAGGTAAAAAAGTCAACCAGTTAATGCCAATTCAATACCAATACCACTTGCATGTTGCAGGGTACTGAAAGTCAACACGCGCCCCATCTTGGTCGCATCACATGGACTGAAATTTTTTCTTCTGGGCACTTGATTCGCCATTTCCACTGTCAAGTATCGTACACCGAGCCTTGGCTGGTGTAACAGCTGATCGGCCCATCTGACGATCCATTGAAAGTGCACTATTTGGTCATCGACCTGTCACAGAGCAGGTTGACAGACTATTTTATTTTTGAATCCTGACTCGAAATCAAGCTTTAAAAAGATGTCATGGTGCTGTATGGTGCGATAGAGATTTTATGAAAGGAAATACTAGTGTGTTGCGACTGCATGCTTGGCAACGCCACCTGATCTTAGATGGTGCAGTGTGCCCCGCAATATTTTGTCTGTGGCGTCAGCAAAGGCTTTATTAACAACATTTCTTGGCACCCAGCGTCAAGTGGAAACGCTAAATTTGTGGCACTACTGCCTCTCCAATTCGTTTTGTTTTTTTGCTGCTGTTGTCTACGTTTTATCACCCCCGGCGTCAAAGGATGTGGCTCGGTTCCGGTTTGCGCTAGCTTTCGTATGTGCACCATTTGACATTATGGGTTCAGTTTTATGCTAACTCATCAAAGTTCAATATACCAGGAGATGCAAAATGAGCGACGTCATAAATCAAGCACACGTTATTTGTTGACAGCACTCAACTTTTCAAAACGCGCTTATGACAACGAGTGAAAAAGCTGGAGCTAGGTTAAGGAACAAACTATACTTGAAAACGAAGACCCGTGAATCCAGAAAGTCGTCTTGATCTCTTCCAACACTGCCACTTAAGATGTTGAAGCGACAAATAATTCGAGCTCAAACATTCTAACATCTGATGCGCGGTTCTGCTCTAAGGGCTCCACGTAACATGAGTAAAACATAGACGAAGCGGGAAGGTTATGATGACCCCTACCAAGTATTAGATTAAAAATTACTTACAAAAAATACCGCATTAGAAACCCTCATAACTCAGAACTTCATATTCCCGCACCCCAGCACTTATGCAGGGTACTACTAAAACTTGCCCGCAACACAGAGCGCTGAGCCAAAACGAGAACCCGTGCCGAGTACCAGGCTGGGCAGGAGTGTTGGCCTCAACGAACAAAAAGCTATGTCTAGACATGTATTACCTAAAAAGTGTTGCTTCGCCCAGTTTTCTTCATGTCTAGAACCGTGTACCAACAAGGTTCCTCAATATCATGCTCTGAAGTGCCGAATTTGGTACCAATTTACGCCTCGTCTGATAATTCTAGCCTGCAAATAGGAGTTATTTCAGCCAATGTTCGTTTAACTGGTAACACTCTGCACATTCGGTTCCAATAAAGATTCGACGTCGTATTCGCTGTTGCCAGTCACTAACCACGAGGTACTTATCCAGACTTCCTTGATCCATGAACTCAGTGATGATCATCAACGGGATGCTCTCGGTAACGACACCCCGCAGGAGGACAACATTGGGATGCTGGAACTGGCTCATAATAGACGCCTCGCTGAGGAAGTCCATCCGCGCCTTCTCTGTCGAGCCCGGCTTCAGCGTCTTGATAGCCACCGTCCTTTCCTGACAGGATCATGAGAAAACTTATCACATACGAGAGACGGAAAACTTACCACACGTCAGCTTCGTGCGTTTTGAAGTATTCTTTAGGTCTGGCTGCCATATGCTGCCAGGCATTGCTGTCGTCACAAAACCATTCCATGACGCCATCAAACAATGACGCAATTTTTTTTTGCAAACTGAAATTTGGTACTTAGGGTCGTTTTTGAACTCTGAAACCTTACCAACAGTTACAAGTGAGCGTTCTCACCATATCTGATGCTGATCACAATATCTTCAAATGTGGAACATTCCCTTCGAGGTAGTGATATTAGCACTTCAAAATTTCGCATATGTTGGGTCAGCACTCAATCAATTAATTTTTGGCCGTCAGTTTTGTTGTGGTATTCTGACTATCGTATTTTGACGTCAAATGGTGCGACCTCGCTTGGCACGCTTTAGCTCAACGATAGAGCTTTCTAACACAAATAGAAGCACGATAATGCTGTTGTGTACCTCTGGCAGTACTCTTTCGATAACACACACCGTGCTGGTGGACATAACTTTCTTCAAAAGGTAAGTCAACATCCTATTAAGATACTAGAGAGGCTGGTCCCCGCAGCTGCCGCTGCGGGGCTGAGAAATTAGGTTTCAGTCACCTTGTCTATATATGTTCGGTCTGCAAAGTCACGGCTGCAAGTGACGTATGTTCACAAGACTTGAAAACCCATGCATTGCATAGATCAGACGTGATGAGTCGGTTTATTTGTATCTTGCAGGGATATCAGGAAATGTCTGGCCCCTCCACATGTTGTCTACCCACGCTTCATCCGAATTGCAACAAGTAATATCAGAACACAATTGTGGTAGGCTTGTTTACCGTTTTAGATGTGTGTGAACTCGCAGGACTGGTTCATGTTTACCACCTTCCAATTACACACAAAAGATCGCGTTCTTCGTTTAGGAATTCTGCCGCGTTTCTCCTAGCATATCTGCGTTTGTGGGAAAAATTGTTTAGGTTCGATTTTCATTGTTGCAGCAACAATTCAAATTGATTCTTTATGCCGATCATGATGTCAAAACCAACGATTACAAGTGCCTCCAATTAATGCCATGCCCTGTAGACTAGTTGCTTCCATAATTAATATCCAAGCACGACAGCTGGCCACGTGTGAGTCTAGACATACCGCCAGCTGACCAAGGTCAAGTGATATGGCTGCAATGAGATACATCTAATACCCAATATGTTATTACATATCTATTGCTGACATGGTTTGAAAACTCCATATCTTTAAAGTATCATACATCTGTGGCTGCTTGCTTCAAAATCCGCTACTTGTAACACAAGACTAAATGTTTTATTATATATGTGTGCAGTTTAGTAGCCATAGACGTCTTACCGAATATGAATTGAATTAGCACTAGCATTTCATGTCAATAGCCAAAAGGTTGTGAACGTTTATTGTGGTGTACTATTGTAGACTGAATTTGGTATAAGTCTCGAGCAATTCTTATATAGTAATTGCTGGGCAAAGGTGGAGCAAACTAGCGGTGCCCGTTGCATCATGAAGCTAGCAGCCATCAGGGCCCAGTTCTGATAAATGATTAAGCCCAAGTGTGCAATGAATTGGCTGTTTCCGCTACATGGAGCCGAGCGAGTGCCCCTGACCAGGTCCGGATAGGGAGCCCCGGCTGAGGAGCTTGGGCGCCTTAGGTTTTTACCCTATCATACCCGGCCGCTCTTCAAAGATATCTCAGCCGGGAAGGTAGGCGATACGCGCACAATCGCTTCGGTGCACCGTCCTAGGCTACAATGCTATCTGACCATTCGGCCCGTCGGGTGATCAGCCCGGCCGGCGTCCTTACCTTAACGCCAACTGGGGCTTAGAAGCTCAATGGATTCGCTTAGTGTAATTTCAACGGAGGTCGGCGGTCACGATGCATTTAATGACCGGGCTACCCGTAGTGCAGTTTTGAGTCCATCTGATGCTTCCGCAGCCATAAATAACTCCTTATGCTGCAAGAATTCTTGTAAGAAATAATGTTTTGTCTGTTTTGGTGTAAATAGCGGCGGATCGTCCTCGAATGGTGATCGCTCGTCCTTCCTGGGTTCTATATTACCGCTTCGGTTAATCAAACGCGTTCAAAATTCAACCGAACTGTGAAGTTTACTCTTTCATTCATATTTATCTTGATCTTACATATCGTTTTACCGTCAAAGCATGTCACAATACATGCGATCACTCATGTCCGTTACCACGCATTCAGCTGTACCAGCGTTAAAGGTGTACCCTTTGTGACGCCACAAAGAAATCTTCGCTGTTAAATGCGCAGTCGGGACGGTACTACCCAGTATACATCGCCTTGGCACATAGCATGGATTGGGATCTGGAAAAAATCATTCTTGTGCAGGGGCTACGTAGCTGGCATTGCACGCATGGCCTACTGGAAAGCATAGCTAGCTGGTCACCCGGTGGAAAGTCATGCTGTCATACTAACAGTGTTGCTTAAACCTGATACATCGGAGTGACTTTTTGTGCTGTAAATTTCGGCTGGAACGTATTTTAACAACGCACTGCTCCAAGCCTACTGTACCAGCACATTGCCACAGATGTCCATCTGTAAAGTGGACGGGGCAAGGGTCAAC